TCTTCCTTAGAGGTCCAGTACATGTCATCCCTTATTAGTCCAGTGTTATACCCCAGAGGAAACCGGAGTGCCTTCAATTGTGTTAGTAGGATCGTATGGCTTTTAGCTCAAGGCCTGCCTCCCTGCTGAGATAAGACGTATTTATGAAGATGTATCTTAATAGCTGATCGATCTTCAAAATCCTTGTAGGAATGCATGAAAATCCTGAACTCGTTTGGAATGATGAATCGAGAGAGAAAGTTTGCAATGTGATCAAGAAAGAGAGAAACCGGTACGATGAACGCTCTGAAAACTTAAATGAGGAATGAAATATGAGATATTTAATTTAATTTGTCTATCTTTCTCTAGTTTTTATAACAAACAAAAAGACGATCCTGATGCCTCATGGAAGGTATAGAAATATTCCATATCCTTGATTCAATGAAGTACCTGCTTATAACTAGATATCATTCTAATAATGTTTTTATCTTCTTCAGCTTCCAGATGACTTTGAAGTTGTTTACTCAAATGTTGAAGGAGAATTGGTGGTCGGAGGAGTTTATTTGAATTTATTCATCGCTCAGCCACATTGGGTTAGTATGCAATACACAAAGCATTTTGCTTTGTGAATTTCTGCTCGTCTCTTTTTTATCTGACACCTTTACCAAATAGAAAGTTCTATTGCAGACAGAGAGTTTGCTTTGACGTTTTGTGATTATTAATCAGTATCAACAACTATTTAACATTTTAGGTATTAAGAAAACCGAAAGAATTCCTGTTGGATCTCATGGACAAATACGCTGCATTGCTGCGATCTTCTTCACCTGATGTAAGTTTTCGTTTCCAACATTTTCTTTGAAGATTTGCTAGAGTTCTTATTCTGCAGTTATCAAGCAAAGGCGTTTTGTATATCAAGTAAGTGCTCAAATGAAATCTTCTCTTGTCAGGGGCAACTACTGGAAACATTTACACAAGCTGTCGTATCAATATTTACCGTCCAACCTGCTTTAGCCGACCAGGTAAGTGGACCAAGATATCTAGCTATACACTAAACAGTAGCTTACTCTTCCGATATTTCATTACTGAAAACTTGTATCTTGTTATTTCAGATGCCCAGCTTGGGTCACTTGCCTGTAATTTTCAAGTGTATGAAATCAACTAATGACGCGATTCCACGTTCAGCCATTCAAGTTATTCATATCCTCTCAAGTAACGAGGTATCCGATCTTTTTGTCTTTTCATATAAATCTCTCGAAATGACGTGACAATAATAGGGAGTTTAAGCTTTACTTTTGCGGGAACGGCAAGCGGCATACAGTAGTCCAATTTTTTGGCAGAATTTTTGCTTCACTTCTTCGCTTCATCTTCTCGTTCTTATTTCAAAATAATCATCAAACATTACAGTCTTAAAATAGCAAGTTGATTTCCCATTTATTATCTTGTAGCGTAAATTCCCCTGGCGTTTGCCATTTGACGTTTGAATGCGAAGCTTAAACTCCCTAACGCCCTAATAACTTTGGTGCGATTTTACGTTCGATATTTGTACGATATCTGTCATGCAGTATCTCTTGTAGTTTTGCGTACGGAGTCTATCGGAGGTTGACGTTGTGCGACCTATGATCGCAGCCATGGATGCAAGACCTGACATTATTGTTCTCGCATGCGAAGCATTACATCAAATGTTCGACCAGAATCAAAGCGGTTTGGTCGATCAGGCTGTCAAAGCTGAACTGGTTCAATATTTACTCAAATTGCTCGACACGGACTTAAAAGTTGCGTATAAAATCGAGAACGCGCCTGCATCGAAAGCGCAAATCGTGAAAGCATTAAAAGCCATGTCGAGAGACTTCTTACATGGTGAAAAGGTATGTAGGGTTTTGTGTCTTTCTGTATGTAGTTTGTTCCTTGTAATTTATACAATGATGTAATGTATAAGTTTATAGGTTTACCCTGTAGTACCATTTTGACTAATACAATAAGGGATGATCCTTACTGGACCTTTAGAGAGAATAGTTTAGACCATAGTCAATAGAATAAGGTTAGAGATCCCGATGCAGTAAATCAGTGTCCTAAGAGCTGCGGTGATTTTTACCATTTTAGTGTTGCAGCAAAACCGAGAAATTTGAAATAAGCTTTCTTCTCTATTTGCAATTTTAGGTGCTCGAGATCCTGGACAAATCCGAGGTCTGGGCTTCGTACAGAGACCAGAAACATGACTTGTTCATCTCAGATCGTAACGTAGCTGGCTACCTGACCGGACCTATGGGTGTGGCGGGGTATTTGACCCAGGGGGCTGCGAACTCGAATGCTATGCCGAACAAACCCCCACCTATTGAGAGTATCCTTGATGATGACTAAATATTGCAATTGATGAATGAGCAATGCGCGAAATTTTATGCCAAGCGAATCCAGACCCTCTGATCTCAGATGAAATCTGAAACGCGTAACATTCATGCTTTCTTTCTTGTGATAAAATGTAATACATTCAGGAATAAATAGCAATAGCTAATCCTAGCACGGGCAAACATGTTGGACAAAAAAATATGCATACACATACTAAAAACTTTTAAACTTTCTTTAGAAATGGTACACTAGCTCTGAATGGAAAATTTAAATAGTTTTATCACAAGAATGAAAGCCTAAAGATATAAAGACAATTGGCTAAAAAGACATGAAAAAGCCCCACAAATCATACGTTCCTGTACAGAGCTTCTTGGCTAACGCACATCTATGCACGTTGCCTCCAAATTAACATTTTCGAATAACTTGCATGCCTAGTTACCATTGCTATGATAATGTAAGCGTAGAATGAAACAAAGGCAACCAAGCATTTAAATTTATATGTGACAATGGACCATTTGAATTATAGACTAAATTTTGATCTAGACAAAAATTTCATCACAGCTTGAAAGAGCATCACAAAATTAGTAATATTCCAAAGTTTCGTTGCGAAATGTTGTAAAATGCGGATAATATAGCCTTGCGAAGTTTGCCGTTTTTCAGTTATTTTCTATTACGCATGGGAAAAATGACAGCCCAATCGGGTGTTGGGGCATCAATTTCCCGTTTGTAATACAAAATGACTGAAAATTGCAAATTTCGCTAGGCTATATTATCCGCCTTTTACAACATTTCGCAACGAAACTTTGGAATATTAGATAGATAGATAGATTTAATAAAATACTTCGCAGCCATAGGCTGAATTGCGTATTTTTTTTTACAAGTAAATTTAACTAATTACGAGAATATAAAAGAAGAGTTTATCAAGCCATTATGATGACATTCCATATAAATATTATATATACAAGATGTTTATTACTTTGATATACTAAAAAATTTTAAATTATTAAAAATATTAGGTCATTTCAATAGCATTAGATAAATGATTTGCGGCACGAAGCCACAAAAAAACTAGTTTGAAAACGATTAGTGTTACATCTAGGAATTTCAAATTTCCTATCGTTTCTTAAATCATGTGATGCTCTTTCAAGCTGTGATGAAATTTTTGTCTAGATCAAAATTTAGTCTATAATGCAAATGGTCCATTGGGTTGGCAACGGGCCTGAAATGCGCGTTCAGCTCGAGTAGGTCTAGTGGGGCTAAAATATTAAAATGAGCGTAAAGAAATTTACTTATTTTACAAATAAACAATTATATAAACAGTCTGCCGAGATTGGATACGAATTGAAATTTTGAAAGATTTTTGATGAGAAATAATTCTGTAATGTGACAACAGTCGATTGTGAATCATGCAGATAGATAGAATTAAATACTAATTTTAATGAATCAAATTGTATCGTTTTAGTCTATTTTAAAGTTGTTATGCACAAGACGATTTAGGTAAGTGTACTTCCTTTTTTTAAAGCTTCGAAGTTTTTTTTTAAAGCTTTGTTATTCCGAAGAAAGGGCGGGAATTATGCTGATACGAAATTATCCATACCGTAAACCTCTGACTATAAGCCCTGGGCTTATATACTTTCGTAAGCGATTTTTGATGGGCTTATACAAGGGTGGGCTTATATACAGGGTGTATAAAAAAGAAACTGAACAGATTTGAAATTGCTCTCAATTTCGCAAAACAGCTATTAGTATCCGGTTTTTTATATATATAGTTTCTTTGGGTACTTATAATGTAGAATAATGAAAAAAATTTCTCGAACTCAAATTTTGTGAACCAGGGGGGGGGGTGTCTTTTCCAACACAATTAAAATGGATCGCGCACAAAATTTAAAAGTTGTAATTATATTTTGAGTTGTTTCATTTGTTGTATTTTTAATTACTGTACAAAATTTCAGACAATTTGGTTTAGTTTAAGCCCCTTTAACTATTCATTTTATTCTAAAAAATCAGCCTTTCGCATGCTTAATTAATGCCTTTACCTAATTTGCATATTGCTGACATATGCAAATTAGGCAAAGGCATTAATTAAGCATGCAAATAGATGATTTTTAGGAAAAATGTAACTTTGCGTGAATAGTTAAAGGGCTTAAACTAAACCAAATTGTCTGAAATTTTGTACAGTAATTAATAACCCAACAAGTTTTCCATCTATTAACTCAAAATATGATTACAACTTTTAACTTTTGTGCGCGAGCCATTCTTAATTTGTTGGAAAAGACACCCCCCCCCCTGGTTTACAAAATTTGAGTTTGAGAATTTTTTTTTATTATTCTACATTATAAGTGCCCAAAGAAGCTATATACATAAAAAACCGGATACAAATAGGTGTTTTGCGAAATTTAGAGCAATTTCAAATCTGTTCAGTTTTTTTTATACACCCTGTACAGGGGGGCTCATACATGGACGATCTTTTGTGTTAGTAATAAACAAGTCAGACATAAACAAGTTGTCATAAACAAGAAAATAAACTTGTATTAAGCAGCGATTACTGGGCTTATATTATTAATTCGGGGGACTTATTTTCGATGGGCTTATATTCGGGGGGGGGGGGGGTGATT